CCGTACGAGTGCCGGACGGCACGATTCCAAAGCCAACACCCTACCTTATGATGAAGACCAGTCATCACACGTTTCGACATGGACATTCTGGGTGAGCCAGTCAAATTTCTACGATTGCGAGGTGTATTGCAGAAAACGCAAAAATAGTTCGATACACGATTTTTTGTGCCATCAAATGTCGCCCGATCACTTGCTGGTACACTGACAGAACCCCGGACTGGCTCGGCGGGCTTACAAGGAACACCGCCAAATGACCGAAGTAATGGCCGAATAGAAAGTCGGCTGCCGGGTCCGAGCCCGGCCAGTTCGGAGTTGGCGTATGTGGTAGAAACATATCCCGAAAGTCACCAATTCCAACTGCTCTATTCTCATCAGGGCGGCGTTGCTGCAGCGAAAGATCCGAGAATGTGTCTTGCGACTCTAGTAAATGTCGATACACACATTCACGTCCTCTCTTTCGGCAGCGACTGCATATGTTTTGTCTTCATTACACTGGGCAGCTTGTTAGCTGTAGACCTTTCGGCGTACTTTTCATCAACCCACAGAGCCTTACTCTGACACGGCGTTCCCTACACTGGAGACAGCCATGATGAGAGTTGACACGGGATCGCTGCGACGGCATTGCAACGGGCACAATTGCCACACACTTCCTCCGGTTACTGTCGCGGACTGACTGCTACAGGAGAGCTACAAGCCGTAGTAACCATTCGTCATGGTCAGACTTCCTCTTCAATGAGTTCCGTGAAGCAGCTCTGCTTCTCGCCGCTGCTTTGTGGCACCCAGCTGTGCAGGATGCATGCCCCTGTCGTGTTGACAGAGAGCCAGCCAATCTCCACTAGGTGTCGCTGCACAACATGGTCCCTCCAGCGCCCTGGAATCAATATCCAACAACAGTCAAGGTGCCAGAGTGGTTAATGGGCTGCCCTGCTATCGGATTTTCTGATTTCAGCTTAGGCAGTGGCTTCGGTCGCGCAGGTTCGAATCCTGTCCTTGACGCACAAGCAATACTAGTCGGCGATGTTTTTTGAAAATGACGACGGAGTTCGCGACAACATTTTGCTTCGCAGATATACGCGTACTGTGATAGTGGCTGACTCTGCTATAGGAAAACCTTCCTTGTCAAACTCGTGTGGGAGGGCTATCGAATTCATTCAAAATGCATGGAAGATGACACCAGGATACCTTGTTGGTTGGGACGCGCCTGGTGGGCCTCGTTCGGTGAAATTGACTGCGAAGCAATGACCTTTTTCAATTTTCCCGTCTATCATCTGCCGCGTCCTGGGGGCTGCCTGCAAGCCTGTCACCGAATTTACTCTTACAAGCGATACTACCATGGAGCGCAGCAAATGCGGCCGACCTCCTGGCTGGCTATCGACCGAAATACCTCGGTGCCAAATCAACACGACTCCCCCTCGCATCATCATTAGGGGCCGCTTGTCATTCGACCTACGACGGAGTGCTAGATTGCATCTGTTTTACTTTAGCTACACGAAGAAACGGCGGACGCCTCGCCAGGGAGTCAATTGGAGACGTGAGGGTTGCATCCGCGCCGTCAGCAACCCCAAAAAGGAATCTTATCAATTCCCTTCCAACCATCCTGCCAAACAATCAACACTGGTCGTCGAGATGCCACGGGCATGCATGGGTAGCCTGAATTTTGAGTGCTGCCGAGTTATCCGGTGGTGATCGTTGGCGCCTCCCTTCTTGGCATCGGCTTCCGCTCCTAGGCATGCAGGCAATAACGGCTAAATGCAACTGTTTGAACTTTGAAGTTTGTAGGCTAGGATCCCAAAACGCATCTAGCTTTGGGAAATGCAGTAAGTGCCTATCGAGGAGGAGACCTCTGACAGATTGTCCTAGCTTCTTTGGCTGCACATCACCCCAGACATTTGCATTCGAACGAGCCGACGGATGGAAAAGGAGGCCCGACGTCAAACTCCGGTCTGCCATCCCATTCTTTCTCGGCTCGACTCCAGGCTTGACGTGAAATCATTCCCTTTCTGCCAGGCCAGTGCACGGGGGCTGCACCTCAACAGCAGCGAAAAGGTTGGGAATCCACCTCTCAACGCCGCGTCGAAGTGGGACGATTCTTTCCAAAGGAGGACGCATCTCGGAGAAATGGAAGTTGCTTAGCAGCCTTCGCTCTCCCCTGCCACTGGACAGCCTAGGCTTCGTGCAACAGCGCGGCCCTGGAACGCCACGCCGCAGGCGGCTGCTGTGGGACGGGGTCCTGAACAACGTGCTGACGGAGCCCTATGAACCTTGGCATCGCACCATGGACCTTTTAGGAGGCGTCTTTGCGGTATTTCCAGCACAAGCCCTGGACGGAAACGCTGCGAGAGCGGCCTTGGCCATGCAAAAAGGGGGCTGCGAAAGACAGAATGAGTGACCGTCGTTGGCTTCTCGCCTTCTTGGCAGTTCGAATAGGTTGATGTGTCTGTCGTCTCCTGATCCATTCGGCTTTCGCTCGAGCCTCAATCATTGGCATTACGGACCAAGGGGCTGGGCATCGAAAATCGATCCGCGGCTACCGTTGAACGGCGGCTTGCTCGGGCCAAGGTGCTGGCCAGAGATTGAACAAAGACGACGGTATACGAATTCTCGCCAGTTTGTCGTTGTACGCCGCCTGGCTGAGCCGTTCGTCCAGTCCGTGGCATGGGGTGGGTCGAAGAAGTAGGCGTGGGCCTTTGCGCGATCTTTTGACAGACTTCCCAGGCAACAAAGGTCTAAGTGCATGGGTATTTGATTCACGCTGCAGTATTCGACTACGCCGCCCGTCAGACATTTGGAATCTACGAGCGCTGTAAACTATTCCGCTACTGTGATGGTCGTATTCGTGGCGTCTGTTGACTTCCTTCCCGCTGACTACTCGGGATCTCCTCGATTTCCCCAGTCCGTCGCTCACTAACAACTACTAGTTGCTGCTATCACCACGCAACCCCAGAGCAGAGTCGCTCGCACGGCTCGGTATGCTCCAATGCCATCTTTGGATTGCCAACTGGCTCAGCGGAGTGAAGAGCGATTTGCAGCTGGCCGACGAATTGAGAGCCAATGGGTATCTATCTGTTCAGGTGACATTTTGTTAGTGGACTGATGATCCCCCGGAGCCGGCAGTAGAAAAAGGCAGTGATGAGCGCCCTAGTGTGGTGTCACTGTCACCGCTGCGAGAAGAGACCGCAGAGCATCCCACGTCCAGGGTTGCATGACAGGGCACGGACAGGCGCGGCATTCGTCAGAACAGGTGACTTCCACTGTGGCATCTTGCCATGTCTTTGCTCTGGTTTGTCGGTGCCGGTTCGGAGCGAAGATGTCCAGTATGTCCGATACCCAGAATTCACGAATGCCCTCAGAGCGATCCAACATTCGAGGTCTGTCTGGAGTAGCTACTTTGAATCATCATCTGACATGATCAAGGTGCGAAGTTACAGGTCCTAGAATGGATAGACGCTTGTCAGTCAAACATCAATTGGGGCTGCCCACGTTCCGGACGAAGGGACGTAAGAACAGTGTATGGAGACAAGAACTCCCGCGTCGTGGCTTGCTTCCAAATTCCTAGGAAAAGTCGAACTACGTACAATGCCGGCGCAGTCTGGGGAAATAGGCTAGAGGCCACCAGATCTGGGGAAAAGGCAATTGCACGCCAACACGCATGATGGTTGTCCAGGGCAGGGAGGACCCCAAAGACTACAGCGGGAGCCCGAACACATGTCGTGGTTCGTCCAGCGCCTGGTGCCATCATCGGACCATTCGCACTAGAAGGTGTGTATTTCGACTCGGTATATGCATACATACACGGAAGCAATGGGACTTGGCCTTTTGTCGATCGAGTCCACGGCAAAGGGTGTGCAGCAATCGCCCAAGCTTTCCCCGCAGCCCAGCGCCATGTGGCCGTCGATTGCGCGCTTCTGATGGAGGCCATTGTTGGGGTTGATCAACCTGGCTACTCCAATACAGCACGGTCATGATGACGCTTTAGATCAACTTGGCTCGACTTTGCAGGCTTTCAGCATACGGACGATGGCTCAGAACCTGGGTAGACTGTATTGCGGTACAGAAGAGCTCTCAAACCATCCTCGAAGTGTTTCCCACACAGAAAGAGAGGAAATGCCTTGACGCTTGACACACACCTTGGAGAAACTCTTCGTCCCGGTATTGTATCCGCGTCAACATCTGAAGCCGGAGTCAACGGGGCTTGGGGTGTCTCGAATAGGCTGGGATATTGCCAGTCCACCCCCAGATTCCCCGCAACACCCATCTTTAGGGCACGGTTGATGTGGACAGTGACCGGCAGAATGTGACCAGATGACAGATGTATTGCGACAAAGACCGGCAAGAGGCAGAAAGATCTCGCCCAAAGAGCTGGATTGGTTGAAACGCGCGATGCGATGCAGGACCGAAACAGTGGTGCTATGTTCCCACCATACAGACTACAAACTGGGGGAGTGGAAACCTCCAATCTTGATGAAATTCGCCATTGACAAACAAGATCACTATAGTTGATCGGCCCCGAAGAGCCTTTTGGTGTAAGTCAAACCTCCTCTCTTGGACGCTCTCAAGAAGCCTACTAGCAGCAGCAGCAGCCGCAGCATCGCCAACCGGGCCAGTACTAATATCATACCGACTGCCGGCAGATTATGCCCGCCCACGATCCGTAGCCAAGACGGGGAAGAGCCGTGGCGGTAATTTGGCCAGTCCCCTGTTGCAGGAATGATTTTTTCATCCAGCACCGCCGAAGTGCTACCCTTGGTCCGCTAGGCCTTTTGGTTCAACCATATTCATGACACACGGTAATATCGATGTGCCGCTACAAGTTACAACTCAAAGGGACCTTTTTTGCCGTCCTCCTGTCTCGCCCAATGAGAGCGCGACCGCGAAGAGGGAACAATCTGGACGGAATTCGTGGAAGGCCGGGCGTCAGGGCAGAGCATAACGCCAGTCCGAAAACGTTCAGACGGGAGACGCACCTCTCAATTCCGCTGCAGTGATAGTTACATCAGGTGTTATCGCCACGCCCTCCCTGCATTTTGGGGCTCAATCTGGTCTTGGCCGGTCGCCCTGCTGCTGCTCAGCGATGTATCCGCAATCCCACGCATCGTGTCTGCGTCGGCGTTGGGCTGCTGGACAGCATGGTAAAGGGAACGAGCAGCGCCATCTAGAAACGTCGGGCTATACTCTGCAGATGCGGCCCTCGACGTCTTTGGGGACGGGATGAACGAGACTTCGGCCATATGGTTATTCAGTCGCTAATTAACTGTCCTTTGACAAACGTCAGAGGCTAGGCGCTTTGGGGGTAGCTTTCGACAACAGCAAGCCCAGGCCGCTTATGCAATAATGATTTGCCTTTCATCACCCACCCCCGCTACTTGCTAGTTGCAGACGGCGACCAGAGCAGCCACGCCTAGAAAAAATTGGAGAAGCTTTCTGGTGACGGAAAAGGTGGGAATGACATCAGCTCGTGGACTGATTTCCCAAGTGGCCCAAGGCAGGGAGCTATCCATCTCCATTGCTCCTTTGGTCGTCGCATGTTTTCTTGCTGGGTATTCTCAATTGTCATAATCTTCCGCACCTAGGTATCCCGAACACTGGAATTCGACAGTAGCTCAAACCAGCGGGGGTGGGCGAAAGGATGACCGTTCCAAGATGTCTCAGAGCTTGAGATGGCGAGACTCTTCTCTCAAATCGGCCTTCCTCCCCATCATTGGATACCAAGTTTACCAGGGCTGGGCAAGACCAAGTTACCTTCAACAACCCGAGATTTGTTCCCCCGCTACTTGCATCACTGACCGGATGGCCGGGATGTAAGCAAAGAGTTGCCGAACTGTTGATGGGGATGGATCGAGGAGCTGCTATTCTCACAGGGGCTGCAAGCTCACTAATGCGCCAGTCCGAGGGCTGGCCGTCTCCATACGATCTGGGCATGTCGTCGTTGAGCTGGCATGCTGGCTTCGAAGCATATGGCGATGGAAAACCCCTTTACCAGCAGACCCTTCCTTTTCGGCCCGTCTGGCCTCTGGGGAAGACGAGAGGAGGGTTTTATTCGCGCCATTGCGGATTTTCTTCCGTGTCATTTCCAGCAGATCTCCCCTTCCAATGGCGGGCTCCGACGCCGTGTCAGTGGTCACTCCACCACCACCCGACATCGCAACCTAAAATATTAAAAATAATGAATCTATTATGGAGCCTCCGTTGCACCCCATTCCCATTTCATCCCCCGGTTCATTCTTCTCTGGGCTTTAAAGATCGGCCCTTGGAAGCAGACGGCTCGCCTTTCGCCCTCACACCCTCTTAGTCTACCAACTACGCGATCTTACTCGACCCACTCCCTCCCTCTTCCTCCTGCAGACGACGCCTCCTCTCCTCACTTGTCCTCCACGCTGCTTCTCCTCCTCCTCCTCATCCATCTCCAGTTCTCCGCGTCAGTCGGGGCCCACGTATCTGTACATACCCCAGACGTTCACACACGTTCACGAAGCTACCGGCCCATCAGCATTCTGCATTTTGCGCTGACCCTCGACCCCGGCTTCCGTTCGTCCTGGCTTGATCGTTTCTTGCCTCGAACCCCGTTCTTCCCCCATTACTTAAAGACTGCTCCCCACCCATTCCCCGGAGTCGAAAGAAACCTTCCTTCATCAAAGTTGTGTGCCGTCTTCCGTGGAGTTTGCCTACTCTTGCTACAAGATACCCCCCTATACTCATTTTTCTATCTGGTTACATACTTGCCTTATTATCTCTTACACCCGGAAGACTACACACAATGGCCACACACGAGGCTCACCACAACGCCGTCCCTCCACAGGACGTGGAGAAGGATGTGCATACCTCTGGTGCCGACCACTACAATGGTGCCAATGGTGCTCAAGTAGGCCAAAACACATACTCACGACAAGCCGGGCCTTTCTCCCGCGTTGCCGACTACCGGAACATGACTGAAGGAGAAGCGCAGGCATTCGGTGGTTCGCTCCAACCCGGTGTATGGAAGCCGTACGAACACAGAAAGTTCGCCAACCCGGCACCACTCGGTCTCTCGGCCTTCGCCCTCACGACGTTCGTCCTTTCTTGCGTCAACCTCCACGCTCGCGGCGTGACTGCGCCCAACATTGCCGTCCCCCTCGCCTTTGGATACGGAGGTCTGGTCCAGCTCCTCGCTGGCATGTGGTATGTCCAGATTTTTCTTCCCATGTTTTCTTTTTTTCCCTTTTCCGTGCCAGGGTCCTCAAAACTTCCCCAACATCTCATCTCAACCGTCTCCACGATGTCTCCCGCAAGCGGAAGCTCCGGTGCGTTCATGTGGAGCATGGATGCGCTCCTTTGCGCCGGAGTGGACCTTGAGCTAGACACACAAGCATGGGGGACTCGGGGAAGTTTGGTCCACAGGATGCTTGCCTACGCCCGGGACCAGGGGAACCTGTGGAGAAGCTTGTGTAATACGAGCATCACAAACCAGTCATCACTTTGCATCCTTCATCCGCGCCAATGCTTACTGACGGTTGGTCGTTCACAGGGAGATGGCTGTCGGCAACACCTTTGGTGCCACTGCTCTCTCATCGTACGGCGGCTTCTGGATCGCATACGGCATCCTCTTGACCCCCAACTGGGGCATCATCGCCGCGGACGGCCCCTATGCTGCCAACTACTCTGATCACTACTCAGCTGTCGGCTTCTTCCTGACGGGCTGGTTCATCTTCACGACGCTGCTACTCCTCTGCACGCTGCGCTCGACCGTGGTCTTCTTCTCCCTCTTCTTCACCCTCGATTTAGCTTTCCTCTTCCTCGCCTGCGAGAACTACGCCGCCAACAATGGTGCGTTGACCGCATCGCGCAACCTGCAGATTTGCGGTGGTACTTTTGGTATGCTTGCCGCGTTTTTGGCGTGGTATTGCGCTCTGGCAGGTCTTCAGGACGATAGGTGAGTTTTTTGTGCATACTATCCACCCACCTTTCCGCTCGACCGGCGATCGGTTCAGGTCTACGCTAGACCGTGCCGTCATCGTCGCTGTTTCCCCCCTCTCCTCCCCGCCGCGCTATAGCGTAGAACAATGCGCGCGATGTGGATTCAGTTTGCTAATACTGAAATTTCTCTACAGCAACTCCTTCTTCCAGGTCCCTGTTTTCCACCTCCCGTGGTCCGACAAGGGCAAGGAGATTCGCCGGGCCAAGAGCAACGTCGCCTAAGTGTGAGCAGCATTTGCCACGAGAGCTTGGTGTGTTTTTGTTATTCGTTTAATGCGCGGAATATGATGGGATGTGTGCGGTCGGTGCGACTGCGATGATTTAGGATACCCATTTACGAGGGGTGCTATAGCCAAGCTATGTGAACGACGCGAGAGAGTACAGCGGTGCGGCGAAGGGCCGAGCAGATGCAAGGATTCTTGCGGTTATATATACTGTTAATATTATGGGTGAAATGGTCAATGGCGTCTATCAAGTGAACTTGGGGATTCGTCTCAATTGCAATGCATGTGGTATCTGCGGTAGTCCTCAATCGGGAGTTTTCAGCAACAGGCGCAATAACTTCATTTGCCCGTCCATCTCATGCCTAATTCATATTTCAATACTCTTCCGCAACACTGTCAAAGTCGGCGACCGTATCGAGTGTTCGGCACAGATTCGTCGCTCGCTCGACGTCAATACCAAGATGCAGTGACGTCGGCAAGCCACAGGGCCCCTGGGCGTTGCGGCGATTCGGGAGAGAGCGTCACTGGTGTCTTGGCGATGAAGCGAGTAAGCATCCGTATCCGAAGGTATGATTAATTGCGGGAGATGCGCCACCTCGCCGCGCTTTTCTTGGTGCTTCGCGGAGCGGCGGGAGGAACGGACGGGAAGAGGGGGAGGGATGGATTTGGGGGCGGCGCTTGAGGGCTTGGCGTACCTCATTTTTTGGGGGAGATGTGGAGGTGATGGTGAAGTTAAGCTTGGTTAGTTTTATACTCTAGATATTGGTTAGGAGTTTGAATCCAAGGATCTGTTGCGTGGTCTTAGTTAATGAGGATGGAGAGGTTTGAGTGTAGAGAGTTGTGAAATGGCAAAGATTGGTAGTAATTCGCTCGTCGTCGAGAATCAGTGGTTGAGAAGTAGAATTTGATGGGGGATGAGATTGTGGAGGAACAAAATATCGACGGCGGGTTTGTATGTAAAAGCAAATGTCATTGACTTCAATCGTGCGCAAGTATACTTAACCTTCACTGTTTGGACTTCACGGAAGAGGATCAGTGATGTAGTAGTGTTCAGCTCAATATAAATAGCCGCAACCCGACGAGGCGCGAGTTCGTCTTATCTGGATTGACCGCTGAATCGGCTTTAGGGAGAAGAGTCGAAGACTATAATCCATAAGGTAGACATTGAACCTTGAAGGATTTGACCACACTTTAATTGAGTTATCAGAAACTGGGTTATCGTTTCCGCGTATTCGAGTGTTACATGGCGTTTGATAGCTCACTTGAATGGCTTGAGAGACCCCAAGTCGTGATATCCGGGGAATCACCGCCAGAGCCTTCGGGTTCTTCAAGAAGCCCGACCCCACATTGCGGGAGGGTGAAACGATGCAAGTTCCTGGTACATAAACGAGCGCTGTGCATATCTCGCCAAAATTGATGGATTATAGCGCCATCATTGGTTCAAGTATCGAAGTGCATGACTTGTGCGTCCCCATGATCTGCACAACTCTGCATAACTTGATGCTGTGGTAGCTCTGCCGTCTATCGTGTCACTCTGGACGGCTTCTTCTGCGTCCGTGATCTGGTGGACGACTTATGCTTGGAAAGACAGTAGTATATCTGGAGCATGCGCTTCAGAAGCTGCGTTTTCCTTTTTGCTCTTCTCCCTCATTCTCACAGTCTCTATTGACTTGCGTTGGATTTCTGAAGTCCTTTTCATGTGCAATTGGAAACAACATGCAAAAATGTTTATCGCTTTCGAATCTGTAGCCATGTATCATGGGCTGTTGCTCATCCCGTGTGCTATCATTATCGTAAGTGTCGAATTAGCTTCACATACTATACGGAAACATAGCTAATCACTCACAAGACCATCTTCTATTACACTGCACTCGCCATCTACAACATCTACTTCCACCCCCTCTCCTCCTTCCCAGGCCCACGTCTCGCAGCGGCAACACCATGGTGGACAGCACTCTCCTACCTAAACGGTCGCACTCCCTACGACCTTCTCGAGCTACACAACACCTACGGCCCCGTCGTGCGCACATCTCCCGATTCCCTGTCGTACATCAAGGCGCCGCAGTGGAAGGAGATTTACGGGCACAAGGCGCCCGGTCAGCTCGAGTTCAGTAAGGACAGTAAGTATCATTCTGCGCTCAAGGGCGATGCAGTGATTATAAATGCGGACCGGGAGTATCATTCGTACATTCGTAGGTTGTTCGCGCATGGCTTCTCGGAGAAGGCTATGAGGGAGCAGGAGGAGGTGTTGAAGGGGTTTGTTGATGTCTTGTTTGCGAAGCTTGGGGAGGTGGGGGAGGGAGGACGGCCTGTTGATGTTGTGGAGTGGTATAATGTAAGTTTCCTTGATATCGGCGGTTTAACAGCGAGCGCGTCAGGAGAGGGATTGTGATACTGATGATATCTTGCAGTTTCTCACCTTCGACTTCATCGGATTCCTCAGTACGTTTGCCATCCCATCTTCCGTGTGTCATTAACTCTAGCTTCATATCTGACACTATTTCTTTGTAGCCTTTGGCGAGTCGTTTGACTGCTTGACAACGTCGACCCTTCACACTTGGGTCCAGATCTTTTTCGCTCTGGCGAAGTTCATGTCCTTCCACCAGGCCATCTCCCGTCTCCCCAAGTTGCTCCAGCTTCCCGCGACGCTGTTGACGATGCCGAAGACTATTTCTAAGGATGTGAAGACGCTGAATGAACTTCAGAGTGTAAGTGTACCACCGGTTGAAGCTCCTCGGTGTGGCTTGAGTGGTCCTGCCTCGTGAACTATGCTAATGTCTGGATTGAAACTATTCAGGAGAAGGTTCAGCACCGGCTCAAGACGGAAGCAACCGTCCCTGATTTCATGGAGAGGTTGATTTCGGCGTACAACGCGGGGAAAATGTCGTATAAACAACTCGAAGGGAACTCACAGATCCTCATCACTGCCGGGAGCGAGACCACGGCGACTTTGCTCGCAGGTAAGCCGACATGTTTCCAACCACCACAGTCACGCTTCATGGAAGAACAGGTAACCTATGACTGACAACATCACCTAGGACTCACATACCTCCTCACCCAGAACCCCCGCGTTCTCGCCAAACTCACAAGTGAAGTTCGCTCAACGTTTTCCCACCCAGACGAAATCACCTTCACGGGCGTCAATAGCTGCAAGTACCTCCTCGCCTGCATCGAAGAGGCTCTCCGCGTCTACCCGCCCTCCCCGCAACCGCACCACCGCATCGTGCCCGCCGGCGGCGCGACCGTCGACGGCGTTTTCTTGCCCGAGGGCACGGCAGTCAGCATTCCCATCTACGCTGCCTCGCACAGCCCCCTCAACTGGACGCTGCCGGAGGAGTTTATCCCTGAACGATGGATGACTACAAAGGATGATGGCAACAAGGACGGAGCAGCCGATGAGGATGTGGACGTGCGGCTGTTTGCTGGAGACCAGCGTGATGCGTCGCAGCCGTTCCAGGTTGGGCCGCGCAACTGTATTGGTAGGAATTTGGCTTATGCCGAGATTAAAATCATCATGGCGAGGTTGTTGTGGCAGTTTGATATTGAGAATGCTACAGAGGGGGATTGGATTGGGACGCAGAAGGTGTTCATGGTCTGGGAGAAGGCACCGTTGTGGGTGAAGTTGCATCCTGTGCAAAGAGATTGAGGATGAATGAGTTCTGGAGATTGGGTTGGCAAAGGAAGGCCAATTTCAAACGAGGAGGATTTCTTGAGTTTCCAAGTTCACGAGCTCCCATCGATTGGCATTCACCTTTACGCGTTCTTTAGAGCGTTTGTAAAAAACTCTCTGCAATGTTGCGGTTGTTGGATCCTGTCAGGTTTGGCAAAGATAGACACAATGTCACAATCAGCCGAATACAAACCCCGAATAAATGATGGCTTAGATTGGTCCTTGAAGCTCTCATCGGTGGTAACGACCGCGACGTAGTTGATAGAAGACGCGTCGAAACCTCACGATGATGCAACTTGGTCAGGGGAATTCGCGCAATTCGATGTGGATTCACCATTGATCCCCACAATTATCAAGCACAATAGCTCAGGGGTAGAGCGCTGGGCTCATAACCCAGAGGTCCCTGGATCGAAACCAGGTTGTGCTATCTTATTTTGTTTTGGTGAGCTTTCAATGTTGAAAGCCGTCGCTCTTTTGCGCCAGTTGGGGATTTGGACTCTGTTGCCATCAATTGGCCTCTGAATGCGTTATTTGGAGTTGGGGTTCCACGGATCCCACGGCTTCCCCAAATGCAAAAGACACTGTTGACTGCCGCTGTACGGAGTATTCTTCACAACCCCACCAATTGGATCGTCCACATGAGCTGTTCAGACTCTACAACTTGCCTCTTTTAGACGTACCGAGAATGTTCAATACCATTGCAGATTAAAATACGATATTTGTGCTGTAGGTGGCTGACAGTTGATGCAGTCCTCTATCACGCTATCTTCGACATATGCAGGCCGCTGCACCCTTGCCGACTCTGGGTCACCTAAGGCTAAATAAAGTCCACCAAAAGTTAAGGTAGATTAAGCTTATGAATGCGGACGAGGTTAAAAGTGCCACACCCGGCAGCTAAAACGAACAACGGACTCCGGCTTTGTCGGCTACGGCGGGGATGTTGGACATTGAGAGATACGGATATCAGAGCACATCGACAGCGTCCAGGATGAAGATTAATTTAAGCTCGTCTGCTCACTTTGTTGTAGTGACGTGCTCCAAGACTGTAGCGGCGTGCGCTCGGCCCACTGTGATCTTCGAATACGACCTGCGGCCCACAACCTTGAGTTCGGCTGTCGGCCGAGGGTGGTATTGCAGTGATGGTACAAAGTTGCGATTGCTTTTGTCGAGGTGTCTACCCTCTTCATCTCTGAAGCTCAAGACTGGTCTAGCGTCTCTGAATTCCATCTTGATCCATACTTCTCGGCCGAGTATGACAACTGGAAAAGCAGACAAGATGCGAAAGCGAGGATATCTTTGCCGGCTTGGCAACTATCAAGCAACTCAAT